GCTCCGGTCCCCGCCACCATGACGCCACCGCGTCTCCACTCCTCCCCGAGGGCCATACTCACTCCTTCATGTTCACCGCCTCGTCCCGAGCCGCTCTCTTCTCAATGTTTCGCACCAGAATGTCTCCGTGTTGTTTGATGAGGGGAAACATCTGGAAAACAGTGACAGCCATTGGCACTCGGTCATTGGTGTATCCAGATACCAAGCCCGTGCTGTCCAGTTGATCCCAATTCACTGCAACCCGGCGTGTAACAAAGAAGAACCGCTCCGCAGGGTTCTCTTGGCTGTTACCATCACAGCACGTCGGCAGGCCTCTGTTACACCGAGCTGCTGAACGGGTTTGAACCACTAACCTTTGAGTTAGTAGTCAAGCACCAACCGTGTGTGCCAGCCTGAAAGTAAAGACTATCTACTATACCAAAAACCATACACCAACCTCAAGGGCATGGAGTCCATTCCAGCTGACCTCCATGATCAAGGGCCGTGGAGAACAAGGAGAGTTCAGGCCAATTAAGGGAGAAAGAAGGTGATCCGTGAGATGGAGCTGGAAAAGGACTCTCGTTTCACTGTGGTATGTTAACATATTTCTAAGATTGATTTGACTGTATTGTTTTTGTAAGTCTGGGCTGTGAACAGAAACCTTCCTTGGGTGTAGGACTTAGTACTCATCTTAGTTTGAGCAAGAGGGGAGATTGGCTCGAGTTCTAGATGGAGGGGTAGGTGTGGTGGGCCGTTAAATGGTTCACGACCAGCTCAGAGCATAACAGCTCAGATTTGTGGTGTTTCCCATGTCTGTGATGTAACCACTTCCATCGAGGCTAATTCCAAGCTAAAGCTGTGATGTCCAAAGATGGGCATGTGCACAACTGATTCTCACAGGGGACCAAGTCCATTCCGCTCATCACTGGATATGCATCTTCTGAAAAGATAGGTTTTCTTCAAGAAGGGCTGCTTCCCTTCCACACCTTACGGTCCATTCTCATGAGAACTGCTCTTACAGCCCTTTCCGGGAGGTTCCATGAGCCCAGCACATGTGCCTCTTCCCATTGTGGGCAGGTCCAAAAGCCTTCTCTCGCCCTGGCTCCAGGCAGGGGAGGGAGGAGCCCCATGAGATCGCTTCCAGGACAGGCTTCCCCATGTTGGTGGGGTCTGAGCCCCCCGCCCCCCGAGGAGTAACGGGTACACAGGACACTCACAGAGAGTGAGAATGGCATCACTGTACTTGTGTTTGGATATCTGAGTCCTGAGATCTACTTTCCCTTCTTTGCTTATTAGAAATACTGCTTTATGTGTGGCTGATTGATTAAAGCATTGGCCTGCTAATGAAAAGGTCAGCAGTTTGAACCATCAGCTGCTCCATGGGAGAAAAATGAGACAGTCTGCTTCTGTAAAGAGTTAAAACCTTAGAAAGCCAATGGGGGTCTCAGTGGGTCAACAGTTAACACACTCAGCTGCTAACCAAAAGTTTGGAGGTTCACGTCTACCCAGAGGTGCCTGAGAAGAAAGACTTAGTGATGTACATCCAAAAATCCAGCCACTGAGAACTCTTGAGCAGTCCTGCTCTGACACTCATGAGGTCACCGTAAGTCAGGATGGACTTGTTTTAAATCATGTTGTTATGTATATTGTGATACAATGACTTTGCCCAAGTTTACACATAATCTAAGAGTTTTCATCAAAATGGAGAATTGAAATCAAATATTTAGCTTCAGAGGTGTTATATCTTCCAGGTAGCTTTCCTTCCTATACACATGCATGGAGGATTCCTGTTCTTTATCTGGCGTTGAGGAATCCAGTGACTAACGTCTACATCTGCCACTAGCGTGTAAGGCAGCATGTCTATGCAACACTGTTTGTCTCTCAATGACTGGGGCACAGGAGGTCTGTACTGAAGACAGACAAGACAGGGAGAGAAAGGGACAGAAGGAGTGGAAAAAGGAGAGGACAGACGGGGGAAGGACGGGAAAAGGAAGGGCAGAGAGAAGAGAGGGAGGGAGGAAGGGGACCCACTGACTGAAAATGTAGAGCTTCGCGACCCAGGACCCTGGCCCCCTGCCCACCTGCCCAGGCGTCTGCTCTCCCCCGGCCTTCTTGGCTCTGAGACCCCCAGGCCCAGCCTCCCTTCTGCCCACTCTTAGGGGCCAGCTGGCCCACACTTACCTCCTTGAGCTTCCCACTGGTGAAGGTTGGGGAGATAACGGATCTCATCCACTTCCACTTCTCATCTTCTGCGGTGATGAGGCCTGAGTCCAAATCTCCATTTAAACCGAAGTTCTAAAGAGGATTAAGGGAAAAAACCAGGCACAGCTTGGTTCCAGAACATGCTTGGGAGTTTTTCCAAGGGAGGGTTGGACATATTTCTGAACATATTTTTTTTACAAACATTGAATGAGGTAGTGTGGCACTGCCTCCTCCTAGAGGGTTCAGGAGCACATTGCCAAGGTGGGCTGTTGGGGAAGGGGACAAGAGGGGGCCGAGGAACCGCGGATGTGTGTGGTATGCTGAGATCCTGTGCCAAGAGCCCCCCTCTGCATGCAGCGTGCCTGTGTCCCCAGAGTAGGGGGGCCTCAAAGCAGTTCTTGCAGCAGAAGTAGCCAGGCTCATTCTTTATTTCTTTGTAGGAGTCAAGCTGAGAAAGATAATTAGGCATTGCTGTGAGGTTATGTTAGTCTCATACAACACGCCAGAGAGAAGGCTGTTGAAGTCTCATGTGAAGAGTGGGTAACACCCTCCACCCCCACCATCCTCACTGAAATGTGAAGAAACCCAGGTCCTAAAGGGGATGCAGAGGCCAGGGTCACATGGCTGGTTAGAAACAATCATGGGATGGAAACCAGTTTGGGAAGAGTAGAGAACTTTCCAGAAAATTGGTGTCCAACTAGTTTGGCACTGTTTAATGTTGGTATTACTTACTGCAGGTGTATGGAAGGGTGGTTATGAAATTGACTGAAACATGATCTTGGCCCTACAATTGCCAATGGTGGAATTGTGGTTACCATGACAGGTGGAAGTGGGAGAGATTTGGACAGGGGCCCACCAAATATCTCTGAAATCCCCCTGGCATGGGAGGATGCCAATTGGCAAAGGCCCCCAGTCTGTGGTAGTCACTCAGATCACAGCCGCCATGACAAGAGGAGGAATAGCATTACTTTGGATGCCACCGGTGGATATATAATGTCCAGAGTACCTTGCCTTTATTTTCCAAAAACACCACTGCTCCTCAGGCACCTGTCCAATTCCCCCAGATTCTGGCATGATTGTAAAGGGTCAGGCATATTCTTCAAAGCTCTTAGAAAAGGACATGGAAATATGAGTATGGAAAAGGGCCTCAAGCATGTTAACTCGGGGGTCTTTCCTATCTTTCCTGTCTCGGGTTTGTTGTTGTTGTTGCTAGGTGCCATTGAGTCAGTTCTGACTGAAAGTGACGCTACATACGACAGAATGAAACACTGCCCGTTCCTGAGCCATGCTCACAATTCTTGCGATACTTGAGCCCATCATTGAGCCACTGCGTACTGACACATCTCATTGAGGGTCTTCCCTCGGGTATAGAGTGAGAGTCAGGAAGTACCCAGTGAAGGAAGCCCAAGGTGAACTCGCTTCCTCTCAAGAACACACACACACAGACTTCCAGTAAGTTGGCAGAATAGGCATACAATCTACACAGACCCTTTTCAACACAAAAAAGAGAAACCAATTGACAGAGATAGAGAAGATAATCCTGGAGCATTGACCTTTGAAAGGAAGTATACAGAAGTGTATTCAGCACCAATTAGTGGAAGAACCTGAATGAAAATGATGAGTACGGAGATGGAGATGGAGGTGCCGACTGTCAGCTTCTCTGGCAGCACCAATAGCCTGAATATTTCCAAATGATGTTGGGACCTGAGAATTGACCTAAAGATCAGCCCTGGTGGCTAAGAGCTGCAGGGACTACTGTGCTGGTGGCCAATAACTAGGAAGGGAAACAGCAAAGAGGGAGACAACCTGAGCTGTGGACTTTGGGCTGTCTGGAGGGCACAGCCATTTTGATTGTTTTTGAGCAGCGGCTATTTTGGATATTTAAAGTGACCAAGAGCACAGCCATTTTGAATGTTTACAAGCAGTGCCATTTTGGGTATTTAAAGTTACTGAGGGTGCAGCCAGTTTGAATGTTTGCAAGAGGTGGCCATTTTGGATATTTAAAGTGACAGCATTCTCATTTGGATTCCAGAAACCTGAGAATAGGGTCTGTTTGCCAAGGATGGCAGGGTCATACAGGAGGCTGACAATGGGAAAGGAGACAAGTGGTGAGAGTAAGTGCTTCCAACTAGCAAATAGAGGAACACAATACCTTGCTTACTTAGATAACATCCAAACAAAACAAAACAAAAATGAAAATCTTGGGCAAATCACTGCAACATACAATCACTCCAACAACAAAGCAAAAAAGTAATACGTTATGACCAAATGAAGCTCATATCAGATATGCAAAGATGGTTGGTTCAACATTAGAAAAGCAGTCAACATCATCCATCACATAAATAAAAGGAAAGAACCACATGATCATATCAATCAATGCACAAAAGACATTTGATAAAATCCATCACCCATTCCTGACTAAAAAAAAACTCTCAGCACAATAGGAACAGAAGGGAAATTCCTCACCATAATAGAGGGCATATGTGCAAAACCAACAGCCAACATTATTGTCAATGGAGAGAGACTGAAACCATTCCCCTTGTGAACAGGAACCAGACAAGGATGCCCTTTATCACCACTTCTATTCAACATTTTACTGGAAGTCCTAACCAGGGCAATCAGGCAAGAAAGAGAAATCAAAGGCATCCAAACTAGTAAGGAAGAAGTCAAACTATCCCTATTTGCTGAAGATATGATCCTATATACAGAAAACCCAAGAGACTCAGCAAAAAAAACTACTGGAACGAATTGAGAGATTTAGCATAGTGGCGGGATCAACATACAAAATCAACAAACATACAAGATCAGCATACAAAAATCAGTTGCATTTCTCTACATCATCAAACAGATTGCTGAAAAAGGGAATAAGGAAATCAATGCCATTTACAATAGCTACCAAAAAAATAAAATACTTGGGAATATGAAAGCAAACATGGGTATAGGGACGGATAGATGGGTGAACAAGCTAAACAATTA